CCCACCACACCCCCCCCCCCCCCCCCCCCCCCCCCCCCCCCCCCCCCCCCCCCCCCCCCCCCCCCCGCACGGTCGCCGCCGCCGAGAATTGCGCGCCAGGTGGCTTGGTCCAAGAGCAGCGCGTGCAAGCGGTGGCGGGCGCGCGACGGTGTTCTGTCAGTACATCGACACCGCGTGCTTGCTCGGCGCCCAGGTTGGCTCGGCACGGTCGCCGCCGCCGAGAATTGCGCGCCAGGTGGCTTGGTCCAAGAGCAGCGCGTGCAAGCGGTGGCGGGCGCGCGACGGTGTTCTGTCAGTACATCGACACCGCGTGCTTGCTCGGCGCCCAGGTTGGCTCGGTCCTGGGCACAACGCCGCTGCGCGTCGACAGCGCGAGCTGGGGGGCGACCGAGTCTGTGGCGGTGGCGAACCGCGCGCCATTGCTTTGGCGTCCCCCCCCCCCCCCACTCCCCACCCCCCCCCCCCCCCCCCCTCCCACCCCCGCCCCCCCCTCCACCCCCCCCCCCCCCCCCCCCGCCACCCACCCGCCCCCCACCCCCCCCTTCCCCGCCACCCCCCCATGCCAGCCATCAGCAATGCCCGCTGGAGGCAGCGCCTGTGTCGGTTTCGCAGCGAAGACCCCCCCCCTTCACCATTATTTGCGCGGCAGGTCGAACGCTGGCAGAGGTCGCCCAAGTCCTCCCCCAGCCGAGCCTTGTCGCCACGTCGCAGTTGCCGCGCGCAGCCAGGAAAACTCGAGCGGCGCGGCCTGGGCCCTCCCCCCATCAACCCAGCCCTTCCGCGCCCTCGAGCTGTCACGCTTGCGCCATTCATGGCGCGGCCGCCCGCCCTTGTAAGTGCGCGCGCCGCGCGCCCTTCCCGCGTCGAAGGCCAAGCATTTCGCCCGCGCCGAGCAGTCGACTCGACGCGGGTCCCGAGCGCGCGGCGCCTGCGCTCGCGTTCTTACCGCGTCGTAGCCAAGCTCCGCGCATTGGCAGCACGCCTCCCCCCCCCCCCCCCCCCCACACACACACACACCCACACACCCAATCCCCCCTCACCCCGCCTGCCCGCCCACCCGCTGGCACTCCCCATGCCCCTCCGATCTCCTCCACGCACCCACCCACCCGCCCTCCCTTCCCCGCGCGCACCCACCCACCACACTATCACACCCCCACCTTCCCACCGAATCACCGTTTTCGGTTCCCGCATTCCGTCGGTGGCAGCAAATTCTCGACGCCTCGCGTATCCCCACCAGCCCATTCAGAAACGATCAGCAGGGGAGTTGGTGAATCAGGGGCGGCAGGACGCAGGCAGTCGCGCAGCCGTCTTCGAGACAACAAGGATCACGCATGGCATAGCTTCCCGCATTGAATATAAGATGGGCATCGGTGCAAGCTGCGATGGCTTCGATGAGGGGTGAGGGGTGCTTCGATGACTTGTAATGGCTGTTGCACTGATGTGTGTATTAAGCTCGCGTGCGTTCCGAAACTTGGAGGCATCTTGGGGCTCTCTTGGGGTTCTCTTGGGCCCCTCTTGGGGCATCTTGGGGTTCTTTTGTTGGTGCTCTCCTGAGGTTCTTTAGGGCGTGCTTGGGGCTTCTGGAACTCTTTTGGGGCGTCTTGGGGCCGTCTTGGGGCTCTTTTGGGGGGTACGTGGGCCTTCTTAGGGTTCTTTTGGGATGCCTGAGGTGCCTCCCGGGGCAGTCTTGGTCCTCATGGCTAAAGAAGGGGGGGGGGGGGGTCAATTCGCCCCCCACCCCCCACCCTCGGGGGAGCAAAAATATAGTATTGGGGCCCTCTTGGCCCGCTCTTGGGGCGCTGTTGGGGCCGCCTTGGGGCTCTCTTGGGCCCTCGTGGGGCTGTCTTTGGCAATCTTGGGGCCATCTTGAGGCCGCAAGGGCCCTTCGCAGGCGGACAAGCGAGAAGGCAACCACCATTAATTTCCCTTGGGTGTTTGACTGATTTTGGCTCCTTGGGGGGGGGGGCCCTTTGGCTTCGGAGGGCACTTGAAACCGTCTCGGTGCCTTATTGCGGCCTCTTGGGCGCGCGTCGGGTGTTATCTTGGCCCGTCTACCGCTATATTAGGCCATCTGGGAGGCCATCTTGCGCTCTCGGATGCCCTTTTGGAGCCATCTTGGACGCCGCTATGGGCCCGCCCCCCGCCCCTCCCCGCCCAAGCGCAGGGGCGGGGGGGGGGGGGGGGGCCCTCCGAGCAGGGAGCGGCAGGGGTTGGAACAGGAAACGCCCGAGACCACCTGCGCCCAGAGGGCAGTTTTTTTTTTTTTTTTTTTTTTTTTTTTTTTTTTTTTTTTTTTTTTTTTTTTTTTTTTTTTTTTTTTTTTTTTTTTTTTCGCGCGCGCCCGCCGTCGAAGCAACCGCGTCAATGGCGTAGATCCCACCAGCCCTCTGGGCGCAGGTGGTCTAAGGGCGTTTCCCTTTCCAACCTCGTGTCTTTCCCTGCTCGGGAGGTCGCCCCCCCCCCACCCCCCTTCCACCCCCCTCCGCGCTGGGACGGGAGGGGGGGTGGGGGTGGGGGAGCGGGCGCATAGCAGCGTCCAAGATGGCCCAATATGGCTCCAAGAGGGCATCCGAGAGCGCAAGATGGCCCCGAGATGGCCCAAGATAGCGGCAGGCAGGTCAGGATCGCCTCCGACACGCGTCCAGGAGGCTTCAAGACGGCCCCGAGACGGTTTCAAGTGCCATCCGAGGCCCCCAAGGACCCACCCACATTTTGTCTAAAACCTAAAGCAACTTAAGGCTGTTTGCCTTCTCGCGTTTTCGCTTCCGAAGGGCTCTTGAGGCCTCAAGATGGCCCCAAGATGGCACAATGCAGCCCCAAGAGGGGCCCAAAAGGGCCACACGACGGCCCCAAGAGCGCCCACGAGCGCTCCAAGAGCGGGCCAAGATAGTCCCAAGACTGCGTTTTTGAGGCTCCGAAGAGGGGGGGGGGGGGGCAAGAGTTGAGCCCCCCCCCCTCCTTTAGCCATAAGGACAAATACTGCCCCAAGGGGCCCCTCAGCCATCACAAAAGAGCCCCAAGGAGGCACCCAGACCCCCCACAGAGCCCCAAGACGCGCCACAACTAGCCCCAAGACGCCCCGAGCATGCCCTAAGAGAACCTCAGGAGAGCCCCAAGAAAGAACACCAGGAGGCCCCAAAAAGGGCCCACAGAATCCCAAGAGATCCCCAAGATGCCTCCAAGTTTCGGAACGCACGCGAATTTAAGACACAAATCAGTGCAGCAGCCATTACGAGTCATCGAAACACCCTTCACCCCTCATCGGAGCACCATCGTAGCGCGCACTGGTTCATCTTAAACTTCAATGCGGGAAGCTATGTGTGACCCTTGTTTTTTCGAAGACGGCTGCGCGACTGCATGCGTCCTGCCGCCCTTGGTTCACCAACTCCCCTGCTGATCGTTTCTGGATGGGCTGGTGCGGATACGCGAATCGTCAAGAATTTGAGTAAATCGTGCTGCTCAGCGAGGCACTCGCTACCATTATACAACAACGCCTTGGGCCGCACATTCTGTCAACGCCGCGGCATATAAGACTCCCGCGCCCGCGTTCAGGTGTCGCCGTTCTTTTCTCGTCAGCGCGTTGCGTTGCAGTGCCGTCGTTGTCTGCATTGTTATTTTACCACCTTCGACCGCACATTGCGATGGCGCGTCGCCGCGTGCCGCCCTTTTCAAACCAATCGCAACCTGCGCCCTGGCTGGCTAAAAACGTCAGTTCCCGATGGTTTGTCGTCCGCCGCGCGTTGTCCAGCGGAAACATGTTTTTTCCAATACAACGATCATGTTGTTGCAGTATTTGTTTTGGCGCGGCGAGGGGCGCCTTCGGTGATCATTGTTTTGGGCATGTCTGCGTGCGGCTGTATGTTTGTAGCCTAACACTGCACGAGGTTATCTGTGGTGAGAGGGAGGGGGGCGCACGTTGCGCATATGTCGTTTGTTCGTTCGCTCAGCATTGCGAGCGTTGAAGTATACAACATGTGTGTCCGTATACGCGATGTAAGCTGTCATAGGTTTTCGGTTCCATGTGCCACCCATCCGCTTGCTCTCTTAGGGTTATATAAGTCCGAAGTCGCACGTTGAGCTCTCGGGCGCCTACGGGGGGGGGGCAACGTAATGACAAGACAACAAAGACATGTGTATAGCATGCATGTATTACAATGTCCAACGTATTTGGTGTCGCGGTCTGGTGCTAAACTCTGTTTGGGGTCCACGTTGGTCAAATCCGCGGATGTTGTGCGGCGTGCGGCCTGGGCCGCGACTTGGAATGATCTGGGCTAGAACGACGGTTTCTTGTCGTCATGTTTGAGCCTCGTTGCTTGTCCTGGGCGTCGATTGGTCGAATGCCATGGCCTGTCCTGTTCCGCGGGGCTGTGTTCTGCTATGTTTGGGCTCGAATGCGTTCAGGGCCACCGCGTGGCCCTTCAGTGTGTCCCGATTTCCCAGCAGAAGTCAGGGTTCAGTGCTGCGCCAGCGGCGCTGCTGTCCGATGGCGGGGGCTAGCAAGTCTGCGGGTGCCGAGGGCAGGGCCCATCCGAGGGCCCGCGCTGGCCGCGGTGGCGGCGGCGGCGCTGGAGACGACGGCGGCGACGGAGGGGGCCGCCGCAAGAAGGGCAGGGCGTTGCGCACCTGCGGGTCTTGCGACGCTACTACGGAGGACATTCGGAATGTAAGCAGGGTCCTTTTGTGAAGGGGCGAAGCTTTCACGAAGTAAGGGATGAGGAACGACGGTCGCAGGACAATGAGGATAAGGATTGGGGGGCGGCGGAGGGCAGACTAGGACTAGGAGGAGCTTCTGTTTTTCCGTCCCCAGCTCCAGTGAGGTTTCGGCAAGCCCACCCGACAGTCGGCGATGCATTGGCGATGCGGTTGTTGATGTAATCTGGGGCAATTGCCCACATCCGTTCTGCTCCCCCCATCTTTCGAACCCATGGGGTTCGGAAGCTGTGTCCTGATGCGTCGGCGTCTCTGGCATCTTTAGGGGACTGCGTTTCGAGTCTCACAAGCGGGGCCTTGCAGGATAAGAAGTTCACCGACGAAACCTACGAGATCGAGTCCGACGGGGGGACTGTGACGTTCTACGGCTGCGAGGCTTGCGTGGTTTGGTGTGCTGAGCATCTTCCTGGCGTCGACTTCGCGACGATCTGCCTGGACAAGAAGACCGACGCTGAATTTGCTGAGGAGCTCCAGTGCGGGATGAGCCGTGAGTCCTCCATGCATGGAGTATCGGCGGGCGACAGCGTCAGGATCGGAGGCGTGATGTTCGAGGACTTCGTGGCGCCGAACCACCACCAGGTGATGATGGCGTGGGGCAAGACTGCTAAACAACTTAGGTTGAAACCATTGACGTGGAAGTCGAAGGCAGGCTCCATCACGGTCTACCCCATGAAGAAGAATGATGACACAAGCTGGATGAGGCTCAGGATGTTCTCAGAGATGACGGACTGCGCTTCGACCAATCGCCTTTCCGAGACCGACGGCGTCATGAAGGACCAGCACACGCGCGTCTTGGACGGCCTTTTGAAAGATGATGGGAATGAGAAGGCGCAGTATTCTACGTTTCGGCTCCCGTCCCTCGCGTGCATCAACGAGAGGTCTGCGCAGCTGGGGGGCAAAGTCTTGGCTTTGCAGCCAGACGGTTCGGGCAGCGCAGCGTCGTCAGGAGGTCGCTCGCCTGCGCCCGTCCAGCGAGCCGCGTCCTCCTACGACCTCACCTCGTCACCGATTTTGCCACTTGCGAGCCATCAGCCTGCGCTCATGGACGGTCGCGCTGGGGATGAAGACGATGGTGGCATGGGTGAGGAAGATGACGATGGTCAGGACGACGGCTCAGTTCTGCGTGACGATTCACAGCCAGCTGGGCGCTTCGTGGTTCGCAGCCGCGAGCCACCCATGTCGCCACCTGCGGGGGGGCGCCCCAGAGGAAGTGGCAGCGGTAGGTTCTCGACGACCAAGCCCGCGGCTCCGATGAAGAAGACGCCATCCGACCCGAACTTGCAGAAGGGTACTCCCGAGTATTGGTTCGCACAGATCAGTCTCTCAGACTTGATGTGCGGCGGGAAGCCTGGGCAGGGGCCGCACCAGCTCGAGATGCTGCTCACCAAGGTCGCCGAGGGCAAGCGCCCGCAGATCAGGAAGTACATGGACCTCATCCAGAGGGCAAAGGACATCGCGAAGATAGAAGCGCTTGACATCGAGACGCTCGACGAGCACATGGAGAAACTGATTGCAGCGAATACCGAGGTGCCCGTCTCAGTGCAGTTCAACATCTTGAAGAAGAAGGCCGACGTATTGTGGAACAAGTGGGTTGTCGACATCAGCAATGAGGAGCCGCTCATCAGCTACCTTCAGATGTTCCGCCCGTGGGACCAGCAGGCACCTGTCTTTTTTTGGGGCGGGCGTGCCTTGCAAATCTCAACGTGCCTTTCTGCGCGGTCCTGGGGCCCAGCTCTGTGACCCGCCAGATCGCATCGATCGGGTCTTGGTTCGGACGTTGTTCGCATCAGCGGCAAGGCTGGATGCTTAGGAGGTTCGAGAGTGGCGTGGGTGGTGGTTCGGAGGAGGAGGGGAGGATGCATGATGTTGGACGGAGGGGGGGGGGGCAGTGCAACAGATGATTGCCTTGGATATCGATCCCTTGCCAGGCCCAGTCGCCCCCGTTCGCCCACCGCACGCCCACCCTCGCGAGCGTCGGCGCCACAGACGTGCAGAGGGCGGTCACTTTCATGGAAGAGCTCGTTGCGCACCGCATTATTCCTTTAGTTTTGGGCGACAAGCAGAAGGAAGCGTGCCTACTGGAGCTTGCGAACGTTGGCAAGGCGGTCCTCACGTTATCAGAGGAAGCACACATCGAGAACAATTGCGCCCAGAATCTCGTGGCAACGCTTCAGCTGTTCGACGTGTTCATTGCGCTGGCCTCCCAGACGATCGACGGTTCGGTCGGTGCCTCCACCTACGACGACATCCTCTCGCTCACTACTGGTGGTACTGACGCGTGGGGCCAGGTCGGCGCAGCCCTCGAGGAGTCACCGATGTGGAAGGAGCACATGGCGAGGATTTCGAAGCAGCACAAGTCCTACAAGGAGTTCGCCCCGAAGATTGCAAAGGACACGGCGGAGTGCGGCGCCATGCTGAGCGGCAAGATGGATGACTTTCCGACGGTGGCATCGTCGCTGTTGGGCCGCCTGCCAGCTTACGTCACGCGCCTGGGTTCCTTGGCCGTCGATGCGCTGGAGACCAAGCTGCTGACCGCCATTGTCACGAAGGCTCGTGGGTTAGACATCCCAGTGTCTGCCATTGCATTGGCGGGATCGCCAGGCACGCATTCATATCATTATGCAGTTTTCTCTAGAACCCATTATACATGCGTGCGTGCAGCGTAGCAACTAGAACTGTGTCGGCCGTGGCTTGACGATCCGTATGTTCATGCATGGTTATCTGAATATATGACGCTTCGCGTATCCTCACCAGCCCATACAACAACCAGACACTTGAAATTTGAGCGCCGATCATCGGCAGTCCCCCTCCTCCTCCTCCTTATCCTCCTCCTTCTCCTTCGCTGCCGTCTCTTGCTCCTGGTGACGTCTTGGAGATCTTGTGGAGCGTTTCGGTAGGCTCGCGGGCCTGGTGGGCGCGCGCGCGGCGCCCCGCGCGCCCGCGCGCGGGGCCCAATAGAAGGTGCCAGAACGTATATGTGGGGCCTTCTTGAAGGGCATCGATCAATGAATGGGGGTGGTCCAACGTGGCCTCCCCGCCCTGGGGCCCACAATAATCGCATCCTGGGCACCTCTTGGGACGCTCTTAGAGCACCCTTGGGCGCCTCTGGGATCTTTCCGAGGCTGTGGTGGGCCCCTCTTGGGGTCCTCTTGGGCTCTCTTGGGGCACCGTTGAGGCCCCGAATTGCCATCGGAAGTGAAACAGCGATACGCCAAACACCATTGATTCGTGGTAGGCGTTTCAAGGACGTTGGCCTCTTCGGGGTCCCCTTGGGGAGGTGTTCGGTGCATTGGAGCCGTCTTGGAACGGCCCTGGTGCCTCTTAGGTTGTCTTCGGGACAGGTTTGAAAGAGTTTGCCTGGTCTCCAGAAATCTTGGAGGCCATCTCGGGTTCCCTGAGGCTCTCGCGGGGCCGTGCTGGGCCCTCCCGTGCGTTCTGACCGATCGCCGCGCCCCTTGTCCAGGTCCAGGGGGGGGGGCGCGGGGGAGGGGCAAACCTCTCCCCGAATGGGAAGAAGCGTGTTGAACCATGAAGCTCCATAGACCACCCACGCACTAAAAAGGCTGCTGGGGCTCCCACATGTCTGTTGTATATCATGTGCGCACGTGTATTTATATATTTCAACGCCTTCGGCTAAGCCCGCCGCCGTGCCTGGGTTGCTGGAAGGATGTGTTGGCATGTGTCAGGTTTCCTCTTACGGCGCACCTCTCGGGAGACGTTGTCGGGCTGGGTGCGTTCGGGAACACGGTCGAACACCTTTGGGTTGCATTGGGCCTTTGCGGGGCGTTGCTTGGGGCGTCTCGGGTGCAGCTCGGTAGCTTCTCGAAGCAATGTTGGCGGCATCTTTGATGCAGGTGAGGGGTGCATGTGATTCCTTGGGGCTGCGGGATCGGAGTGGTTCAACGCTTCGGGCGTTTAGCTTAACTATTTGCCAGCGGTGGTCTGCGGTTCTCTGCGCCCGCAAACGTAGCGCTAGAGCCGCGCGGCTGCATTCGAGAACCCTCCCGCAGATTCTCACATAATGGGTTCCCGAACCCCGTGCAGATTTCTCAGGATTGAAGGGCGGGGCGTGCGAGGTGGTGGTCGGGCCTAAAAAAACGCACACTCTGTGCCCGCGGGTGCGCGCGATGTGCCACCTAGCCGTGGGTTGCGGCGATCCTCACTGGGCAGCGCTGGCGCAGGCGCAACTCAAGTACCCACAACGCGATCATTACGCCAATGTTTCAGCATCAAGCGACGCCCTTGGCGCGGCCACCCCCCTGGCGGCAATGCGTTACCGCTGGCGCAACGTATGGGCCGATGCGGTACCAGCTGTTTGTGCCACGCGGTAGCGCGGCGTCTGCGTTGCGGCAGACACCGATGCCGCGCGCAACCGCCACCCTCGTGACCAAGGAACAGAGCACAGCGAAAAGACCGAACGCCAGAAACATAGGACCAGCGGTCGCGACGCGATTCGCTCTCCTCAGGCCGCGCCAACATCATATATATTTTTAGTAGGCCACATACCGCGCCGAGAACAGCGGCGGTGCCAGAGCAACCACAGGTCGGCGTTGTGCAATTTGGGCGGTGGCTCGCTGGCGCGGTGTAGGACGGTTGGGGGGGCGCGCGGTGCGGGCATGCGGGTAGGGCCCGAAAGTGGCCGCAATCCAAAACGTGACGGCGAACCAATCGGGTAAGGTTGAGACAACCGTGGCATGTGCATAGCCAGCGAAACCAACAACTGGTTTCCGAGCCAATGCCCATATGGCGAACGAATGTGTCATTGGAGCCGTCGCGTTTTGCGCGTGGGTCGCGCGAGGATGGCGCGTTGTCAAGGGCCGCGCGTTGGCTTGCGCTTGCGTGCGAAGCGGGCGGGTTCCAGATTCGAGCGTCGGCTGCTTTGTGGTAGGGGGCGCCTGGCCCGTCGGCAAGCGGGCGCAGGTGTGCGTGGCGGCTGCGGTGGCACGATAGCCATTGTTGGGCAACGGGCTGCATTGGAGACTTGGGGCAAGCGGGTTGGCGAGCGCGTGCAGTGTGGTGAGCGCGCGCAGGGTTGTCGTTGGGCGAGCGCGAAGGCGGGCGGGCGGGCGCGTAATGCGCGCGATTCGCGGGCGGCATGCGCCCGTGCCGCGCCAATGCGCATTGCGCGGATGGGCCGCGTAGGCACAGGGTGAGCGCGGGCGGGGCGCGCGCAGTTCGGATGGAGCGTTCGAGGGGGCATGTAGGCTCGCGCGGCGCAGGCGCGAGCGCGTGGTGGTGGGCGGAGGGGAGCGCGCGGGGGGTGTGCATCGCGTGCCCGCGACGGCATGGTGTAAAGTTATGGCGTCGTGGTTTGGTACGGAACTGGGCCGAGCGCCACTTGGGCCCACGAACACTTGCGTACAGCTGTTGGGGCACGGTTGTTTCCCATGGTTGCTTTTGTGGGCGTTGCCCGCGACTGGCCACGAACGCATTTGGATTTCTTTTGGGCAATGTCGCAACGAGCGCCCGATGAGGCCCCGAGCGGCAGCACGTTTGAAAGTTCATCGCGCGGCGCCGCGCATGCGCGACTTCCTGTGGTACCCTGGCGCGTTTGCCCTGTCGGGCTGCGCCGAGGCTGCGTCGCATGCTTGCCAGCATGTTAGAGTATTGCATCAGGGCCGCGATAGGACCAGCGACCGCCATGCTGTTACAGTCGGTTGTTATGTGGTCAGCGCTCTGGCTTCGGGCGGCTACGTCGCGCGCAGCCCGCGAGTTCTCCGCGCTGCGCGGCTTCGCGGAGGCCGCGACAGGGTTCCCAACGTTCACGGGCGCCGTCGACACACCAAACCCATGGCGCGTGGGCACTCGCGCCGCCGTGCTTCAAGAACGCCGCGCTGTCGCGAACAAGCGGTGGCGTTTCCGTTCACAGTGCAAGGCGCCTTTTGCGCCTTTTCCACGCGCCGCGGCACCATGTTGCGCGCCGCCGACTTGCGCTCAAATGGGCGGCTTTCGTTTTCACATTAGCGCGGCTTGCCTCCGCGCCCATCGAGCGCGCCGCGCGGCCGAGTTGCCTTTGCAATTCAGCGCCACGCCGACGCAATAATTGCGGCCCGCGGCCGAGGGCGCTGCAGCGCTTGCTCTCCCGCCCTCATGCGATGCAAGGCGCGCGCAAGGCGGATCGGTCGGGCATGGGGCTGCCGCCCATCTCAACACCGCGCAATGGGCAAGCCAGGTTGGCCGCGGCCCGCGCGCAGATTGTCCTGGATCGGTTTGGCCTTCGTCCTCTCATAAACAGCGCCTCCAGCGGCGTCCGCACTTGGCTTGCCCGCGGGCGGGCCGCCGCGGGGAAGGCGACGATGTCGCGCGTCGTCCCTTGTCTTGCGCAGCCTGCCCGCAATGTATGCTGGCCAGTATACGCGCATATGGTTTAGTAAGACAGGCACAGCGCAGGCGCATGTTCCAGCCAGTTGGTCGCAGGCTCACTTGAACGCGGGCGCGCCCGCGGCGGCTGAGATTTGCGAGAAGATGGCGGCGGGGCCGTGGGCGGCGCATATCTCCAAAGTCGGTTCCGACCGCCGTGCTGTCCATGCCCAGCAGAACAGCGCCCCGCGCAAAATGAACGCGACGCTTGGCGACGGTGACCGCGGCATGGGTGGCAGGGGCGGGGCTGGGCGTCGTTTCGAACGTTCGCTGTTGAAAGCGCAAAGGTTGCGGAATGAACCCCCACTGCTAGCATTGCCTGCTAAAGCCCAGGGCGTCGCGCGCGATGGTCGCGATGCCGTCGGCGCTGCAAGGCAAGATCTCAGGCCGCCCAACGCGCGCGCCATTTAGCCCCGCGCGTTCTCGTCTGCACTCGCCATGCCCTGGCGAGGTTGCCGTTCGAACGGGCTGGCGGCGGCGCATCCGCCAGCGTGCTGTCATGCATGCCTGCAAGCAAGCGGAAACTTCGGGGCAATTGCGCGCGCTGGTGCGCCGCGCCACCCTGCGCGTGCAATTTGCAACGTTGTCGGGGCGCGCCGCCGAGTGGCATCGACGGCCGCGCGCCCCGCGCTTGCGGCGCAGTTAGCGCTCGCGCCCCGACGGCCGACGGCCGAGCGGGCGGAGGCAATTGTGAACCCCCCAGTGCGCCGCCAGGTCAGCGTTCAAACGTTGCGCCGCGCGTGCGGGCGGGCGGTGCAGCACAATCAAGTGCTGAATCCGCATGCGCCGCTTAGCCGCGGGCAAGCGCCTTCGCCCTGCACCTCAGGCCCCATGGTTGGTTACTTGGTCTGTCGGCGCGGAATGCACCCGCAGTTGCGGAAGTCGCGGCGCGGCGGCCCGACCTTGCGCAGATTGCGCCACCGCGGCGCCGCCGCTAGAGAACCGACCCATCTCCATCGCGAGGGGTCGCGCCCTCGGCGGGCGCATGCATGTCGCGCGCATCGTGCCCCGATGGGCTGGCGGTTTGTGCGCGAATGGATGCCGCGCAGTTTGGCGCCATGGCGTGGCGGCGAACTTTGCAAGGTGGCGCGCGGTGGTTCACATCGGCTGCTGCGTTGGCCGACGCTTGCCGCCTCTACGTCGATGGCGTCAGAGCCCTCGGGTCGATCCGTCGGCGACGCGATGGCAGCGACGCGCGCGCCTTGCTCAG